TTGCATATGATCAACAGGAGAAGACATTCAAAACAACTTTTTAAACAATGTGTCACTTTATGTTAGTTTTTGCCAATGGGGCTTCTTCCAAATGTGTGTGTCATAATAAGATATGTATGTGTTTAGAGAGTTCTCTTCTTTTACGTCTGTCATGGCAGGAAGACAAAGATCAATCCTAGCAACCTAGCATTCATTTATGCCTTCCATCTCTACAGCCATGCAAGCCATACAATTTTAATCAAAATGCTTGTTTGAAACTCACAAATACTGAGTTGCAGAAACCAAATTGTTTTGTTTATTAACCCATAGTCTGGATTTAGTTGGAATGCTTATTTTTCTCACTTTATGCTGATGTGAACTGAAAGGAGGGCACCTGACTGGGACCCTTAACAGCTATAAGCACAGTTCCCCAGTTTTGGAATTACTATTTCCACCTTAAATGCTTTTTTTTGTCAGTCTAGAAGTAACTATTTACTAAAAGCTAGGACAGGGTTGCTGTCAAAAATGGAAGCTCTGTGTTCAGTTACTCCCTTTTCTCTGCTATGCATTCTCCATGTCTATGTGCATTTCCTGTTCCATATTATTGCTACTGGCAGAGATAGAAGCTTAACACTTATAAGAAGAAAAGGCAAGCAGTTTTAAAATTTGCAAGAAGATAAAAGGGAAGATGATGAGGGACTACCATTCTGAACTGGAGCACCAAGTTTATCATAACATTTAGTATTGTCCTAAGCCAGAGCTTTCCAAACTTTTCACGTTGGTGACACACTTTTAGACATGCCTCATTTCGCAACACAGTAATTCAGTTTTGCATCATTTTGTGAAACAGCAATTCAGTTTTACTAGCAAACCGGAAGTTAAACTAACCCCTTTCCAGCCCCAGGAGAAGCGTGGGAGGCATTCACATGACAAACCTACACACTGCAGCCAACACACTAATGTGCCATGACACACAGTTTGGAAAGCTCTGTCCCAAGCCATCAGATGTTGTGTCTCCTTCAACCATTTTTATGAAGAATTTATAAAGTATTCCTTTCTTTTTTTAAAAAAACCCTTAAAATAATCTCTCAACAGTAGAATATTGGATTTGTGCACTTTTTGAAAAATGCAGTAACTCAAGAAAGAGAATACAAGCTCCTATTTAAAACAAAGAATAATATACCTTAATTTAATCCATGTGTAAAATGCATGTTTAATGATAAAAAGTGCTAAATAAAATGTTTAGTGAATGATCATACTGTTACTAACCAGTTTTTAGAAGGTCTTTGGACAAAGAACTGTTAGTTATTTTCATAATGTAAGTAAACTCTCCTCAACACTACATCTGGACCTAAAGAGCAGCCTTATGAAATACAACACCAATGGGATTGTATTTCAGGAATATTTAATTGTTCATATGCCAATTATATGTTTTGTTTTGCACTCCCCACTTCCCCAAACAATGGGAAGTGTCCAGAGAGTTTCACAAAGTGTTTTCTTTGGAGGGAGTGAATTGGACACTTGCAATGTTTTGTAATAACCCTTTGTTAGCAAATGTATCATTATACTGAGCAGTTTTGTTTGCAAATATACAAATTAGACAAAGCAGTTTTGTTTGCAAATATGCAGTTAAATTGGGCAGGCACAGAAGCAGGTAACGCTAGTTCCAAAGACACATCAGTAAAAAATCAACAGCAGCACATCTGAACCCAAGATGGTTTCTGCCATCAGTTAGCTCCAAAATCCTAGAATTCTTTTCTCTAGCCAAAATCAAATTTCCTGGTTTTGCTTTGTTTCTAAAAGCTAGCTGACACAGTGTGAGCAAAACATTTTTATAGCTGACTCTCATGTTTAAGCGAGCGAGAATGTTGGATTCCTTCCATGCTGGTTTTCAAGATTACCCTGATAGCCCACTAGTAGCCATTAATGAAAACTCTAACAATCAGCATGTCCAAGAAAGAGATACCTCTATGTTCACATGTTGCCATAATATAACAGAATCAAGGAAATATTATAACTAGGACCCAGAGAACTGTACAACCAGTTCAGTGAGACTAAGTGGGCTTTAAACTTGTTTTTCTCTAAAAGCAAGCCACCTGGTCAAAATGGCAAGTTCATTGAGTTACTGAAAATATAACAAACAAAACTTCTTGTCTTGTCTTGTCTTGTGCCAGAGAAAAACTAAAGGTATTACCATTTTATAGAGTGATTTAAAATGGCTATGTAAATTCACTGGGGAACTTCACAACAATTTTCAAAAACTTCCCTTATCTAAAAGCCCATAAGCCTAATTTAACTCAGAAGTGACCCAGCATGCCCCATTATCATAGTTAGGGGCAATCTCTTAAACATGTCCTGTTACACCTGTTGATTCTGAATCTATGAATGGATTCCAGTAGCTTCAAAGAAAATAAGAATTTCCATTTTTCTGCTTCTCTACTTATTTTGTAAATGTGTAGATATATCATATCAAAGACCCAAAGAGGGAAGTGGCAGCTAGACCTCCAGTGCTTCGTGGGAACCCATATACCTGTAAATCTAATGGAAGGTTAAACATTTCAGATATGTAAAATATGGAATTCAAAGACGGCACTGAACCAAAACCTACTGCTTCCTGACCAATCTGACTTTGCCTTGAAGAGCCGCTAGCTTTTCCTATCTCTAGCCCACTGAACCAGTAAATTCTTAGTTAATTGTCCATCAGAATGTTCCTATACTAAAGCAACTGCAATGTGTAATCAATAGATCGCACAATGCTAAAAATCATGAGAGAATTCATTCAGAACAGGTATGGAATTTCATTTCCTGTTCTTTTAAAGCAGTTTTAAGGACCAAAATTTAAGGTTCACTATTTTTATCGACCAAGCAATGCCATTTAAATTTTTTATAAGGATGAATTAAATTCCTTACTTCAACTTAATGCTCCCCCCCGAACAGTGTGTACATAGTGTCATCAATTACTAATATATGTATATCATACAGAGTGACTAAGGCCATGTTTGAGCCATCTCCCAGCCTGTTTCCTAGCACTAAGCTCTGGAGTATACCAGGGAGAGAAACTCCCACAAAGCAGGAGATGGTGCTCAGGGGTGATCATGTCAATGGCCTGAGCCATTCAGATGTTCCAGAGCTTCCAGAGCCAGAATTTTGACAAGAGCACCAGTCATATCAGCCAGAAAAATCCCCACTGAATTCATCAGTATCCAAGGGTGGACCATCCTAATGGATCTGCAGAAGGGAAAAGGTGTTGAAAGCCTAATCTCAACAGAAAATTATCTAACGATGACAAAGGGCTGGTGTCAATATCCCCCACTTTCAAGTCAACCTTCCTGCCCAGTTGAGAAAACAAGTTCCAGAGTGTGGCCTGCCATATGCATTGGACCATTGATATGTTGCTACAGCCCCATGGTCATCATGGCAGCCATGAAGTCCTAAGCCACTCCAGAGCCATTCGCCTCAGTATAAATGCTGGAGTCCCCCAAAACCAGCAGTCTGGGAGTCATCACCATCACTTCCATGACCAGCTATGTCAGATGGTAAACCAGCAGAATTCCTAATCCAGGTATCCCCAGCTTTCGGCCCTCCAGATGTTTTGGACTACAATTCCCATCATCCCTGACCACTGGTCCTATTAGCTAGGGATCATAGGATTTGTAGACCAAAACATCTGGAGGGCCGCAGGTTGGGGATGCCTGCCCTAATCTGTCTGGATTGCCCAATACCAGGTATGAACGCTCTAGATCCCCCCACCCACTTCTGTACAGAGAGCCTGGAGACTGAGACGGAATCTCTACAGACTACAGCAACTCCCCAGCCCACAAGTCTGTCCTGATGCTGCACTGATTACCCTGATGACTGGCGCCCACCAACTACGCATATAGATTTATGGGAAAATTTGACACATTAGTCTTCTGGAGGAGAAGGTGGGAAGGGAAAAACCAATTGTTTTGGTAATGTTTATGTAATAAAATATTTTTAAATGAACAAAAATTCCTTAGCATGGATGAGTTATACAGAACGAAGTATACCTTGCAAATGCAGACTTCTTGGCTTAGTAGAAAATAGGCGTATTTCGTTGCTTATTATGTACACGAGGATCCAAAATGTGTTCTTTCTTCATTTTAAGTAACAGCACTGAAAAATACATTTGTGTTAAGTATGGAACCAATTTAGTTGAATAATTGGTGTTGAGACAGTAGCTAGAATTGAGATACTCCTTCCATAGGAATGCACTCTAAGTTGCATTGTAAGAGGAGGTATAATAAAAAAACTGGATGTAGTTGATCATACTGTAATAAAAGTCTACATTTACCTTTGTATGCAGTACACTAGGTAGTAAAAGAATTTTACAATTTCTTCAAAAAGCAATGAAGTAATAGCTCAAGTTCAGAATATATCTTTGTAGCTGGGAAGCTCATTTCGTACTTCTGGTTTCCCAGAAGCATCTAGCTGGACACTATGGGAAGCAGAACTTTATGTCAGATAGGTCTTTATTTGCTTAAGCAGAATGCTTCTTACATTCTTAAAAAAAATTATCCCAAATTTATATCACTGGTGTTAAAAGAAAAGCTGGCAGGCCCACAGGAAAAGACTTTATTATTTGTTTATAGTATTTATTACCTGCCCTTCATTCTAAGGTCCTAGTGTGGGTTACAGGATTAAAACACCATATTAAGAACAATTTTAAACAACTTATAACCTCTATCTGTGCAACCCCTAAATATGTTCCAGTGGGTTTCCCCAACCCTCCAGAGCTGATTTATGGGGGGTTTAGAGAGGAGAGGGCAGGGAAGCTTTACTGCATAGCTAAAAGCCCACGCGCTAGCCTATCATATGTAACCTGCATATGAGGTTGTACACTGCATGTAAGAAAGTGGTTTCGGCATGTACACCGAGATGCCCAAACTGCATGCAGTGTATACAGTGACACCAGGTTGTATTCAGGTAGGTAGCTGTATTGGTCTGACACAGTCAAAATAAATAAATAAAAATTAAAAAATTGTCCAGTAGCACCTTAGAAACCAACTAAGTTTGTTCTGGGTATAAGCATTCATGTGCAGGCACACTTCTTCAGACGAATATCTTCTTCAGATATCTGAAGAAGTGTGCATGCACACGAAAGCTTATACCCAGAACAAACTTAGTTAGTCTCTAAGGTGCTACTTACTGGAGAATTTTTTTAAAATTATTTTTTATTTATTTCGACCAGGTTCTATGTGTTTTCTTGTTTAACTTCTTTTCAAAAAGTATAATTGTTTATTGAGAACAAACATGATAACATGACAAAATAGTAATTAACTCTGTCAAAGAGCTAAGCTTCCAGTATCAACACAAAACACAACATAGTGCAGCACATATCATTTGCAAGCTAGAGAGCAGGCTTCAACCACTGAAATTGATGGAAAAACCCGTGAAAAACTGCAGATTCCAATGAGACTTAGGTGCCCTTTCCCATCTTCTGCATCCAGGCCTGTGTCAACTAATCCAGTACCCAATTCTTTAGATCCTAAAATCAGAATGTTTAAATTGTACCTAAGTTTATACCACTGGTCTAAAGGTCCATAAATTAGTATGGAAACCATTTAATATCAGCCGTATCAGCTTTTTCTTATTGGCAGTGAAAAATCTAAAAAGTATGGAATGCCAGTGTCTCTTTCATATTAACTGTAGTGAGGGACTAACTAGAATTATTGATATACCTATTATATTCCAAACTCTCTTTTCATATGTTTGCAACGGTATGTGTTAATCAGCATTTTAATTTAAAAATAAATAGTGCATCTTGTAAAAAATAATAATAACCCATAATATCATGTTAATATATATCCTAAAATTGAGGCACTTTTACAAGGTCCAATTTTTGAAGGGGATATTCTTAGCATTTTATTAAATCTAGGTAGGTCTGTTTGGGTGCTTCTCATCAAGATGGTACCTCAAACACGCGTGACCACCACTTATTCTATTTCAGAGTTTTTCAAATACCCAATATTTAATGTGGCATTGTTGTTGTTGTTGAAATGTGCTGCTGCCGTTGTTAAAATGTTTATACAACCCTTCATCCGAAGATCAAAGGGTGTTTTTTTAAAACATAAAACCATTACATAATTGAAAGAGCAAAGTGCAGAATTAAGTTAAAAATGGGGACCAATGGCAATCTTTATTAAGATTTACAGAACAATCCTTTTTTTTGGTGGGGTGGGAAGATTCTGCAGCAGAAGTACAACCACTTCATAAATAGCTAGCTTGCTACAATCAGGGTAGGAGGTGGAAGCTTTTCCTTACCGTGAGAGGTTGTTCAATCAGAGGGTTGGAAAAGGGCCTAGTCTTGGGATATGTCAGGGGATTCAGGATCTACTGGATCCTTGGCTGTCCCTGATATGCCCTGGGAATGCCCCATTTCAGCCCCCACTACCAGTGCAACAACACCAGTGAGAGATGTATGCCTACAGAAGGGTGTGAGAGAGAAGGGACCTCCAGAACCATAAGTGTTGTTCTGTTAGTGGTCCTCCTAGTCTGTTAGAACTTGCCCCATTTCCAATATCCCTTCAGCTCGCTTTCCTTATTTAAAAAAACAATTCTTCTCAATAACTGTGTGTGTGTGTGTATATATATATATATATATATATATATATGTGTGTGTGTGTGTGTGTGTGTAATAATGAACTAGCAGGGTGAAATCATTTTACTTCCTATCGTTACTTTTTATCATCTGCCCATACCTCAGTACAGTGGTACCTTGGTTTGCAAACAGCCTGGTTTGTTTACGTTTTGGATTACAAACACGTCAAACCCAGAAGTGCGTGTCCCAGTTTGCAAACTTTTTTGGATTGCAACCCATTTTTTTTTGGATTACAAACAAATTATTTTTGGAGGCCCCATTGTCAAAAGCGCGCCTTGGGTTACAACCTGTTTTGGTTTATAAACGGACCTCCGGAACAGATTATGGTTGTAAACCAAGGTACCACTGTATTCCACCACGAAGCATCTATCACCAATATGATTATAAGAAAAACTGCCCCACTTGTAGCAAACACACAGTCCACAGTGGCCACACTCCTTCATTGATAAGTATGCTATATCAGTGGTCTTATGCATGCTTAACTCTGTGATGGATCCTAGCTATTAACTTTCTTGAAAATTAATAAAAATTTTATATATCACCGGCCCATTCAATTCTGACCATGTTATTTGGAGAGAAAAACAGCATTTTAGGTCAAATGTACCACTGTTGTGGAATTCCTGTCCCTACAGCTGTCTTCATTTTTAAAAATAATTTTAAGAGGTAAAATTCTCTGTGCCATCTCACTTGCTCCTCTTTCTTAATAGAAAACGACTGCCGTGACTACCCCCATGTAGCAGCACTATTCACCATCAGCACCTCTGCACTCCCCATGTGCTTAGAGAACAACTGATTAGCACTTTGCATAATTAACCTGATTAGCACTGTGCATAATCAAACTGATTAGCACTTTGCATAATTAAAAAGAAATAACGGCAACAACAACAATAACTAGGTAATATCAAAAGCTGCTAGTCCGACAGCCAATTTGCTAGCACCAGGATTAGTTTAGTGTAGAATCTTTTATTCTTTAAAACCTATTTTAGGAAGTACACATCTCGAAACACTATATACACTGGAAACAGTTCCAATAAATTGGTGGTCACCCAGAAAATGGTAAATTCTAGAACTGATAATTTAATATGAACTGTTGGGAGACTAGTTCTCAGATGTCTTATTGCTTGCCATCACTAATCTTGTGAATGTGCAAGTTACCAAATTCACATCCTGAGCACACAGAGAAAATTGGAACACTCTGCTGGAAGTGGCTTCATGCTTCCTTTTCTTCAACATGTGAAATAAATCCTTTCCATCTGCCCCGTAGGAACTTGCATATGTCTTCACTCTGAGTGATGCAGAAGACTGCAACAATGTGAAGGAATAAGAAGCACGAGATGCTTGTGCTTCCTACTCACTCTTCACTGGTATAACATCTGAAGTTGCTTTTACTTTGAAGACAAAGCCATCTTGGGAACCTGGATGTCACTGATCATTCTGGATTCTGGAAAAAGAACTTACAAGACAAACAGACCAACTTTCTGGCACTACTGCAAAATTCAATTTTCTCACAGTTGCCTACCATACTGGATTTCAGATGTCAACATTTGTGGCAATATCTTAGAAATATGCTTGGAATGGTTTAACATTATCTGGAACTATCCAGAGTTCTGTAGTTTATCTAAACCTCAAAATAATATTTAAAGAGACGGAAATCTGACTAGGTGGACAACAGCATTATTGATCCTTCAAAAACACATCTTCTGCAGCTGGGGGTTCACATTTTTGAATACCTCAAGGAGAAATCATTAGCAAAGGACATTTTAAAGCACAAAGCTAAAACATATATTGCAGTTCCAAAGAACTCAGTCCCTGCAAGATAAGAAGTCAAGTACTAACTGAAGCGCCATTTCTACAAACTGTTATGCTTCAGGAGTAGGGGGAGGTGCTGCTAAGGAGATTATTCAAGTCCAAATGTTCCTGGGGAAGGTAGTTCCAGTAATTCTGGGAATGATGCCAATTCCTAAGCTATATATGTAAATATTTTTAAAACACTAATTTAATATACGTGTATTTTAAACACATATATGTCTACGTGCATACATTGCTCCAGTACTGCCATGGCAACAAGTTAACAGTTAACAGAAAACTCACACATCTGATTGAAAACAGTTTTTAATATATAACTTCAACACACACACACAGAAACAAAAAGGTGCCTTGGGTGAAAGCTTAATCCAATCTATTCTCAAACAATGCAAGGGTCAATTTAGGTAGACAAGCTCATATGGAAATGAGTGGAAGAATCGCTGAGCTGGAAGAGGATGTGATAAAACTAGGCAGAATTCAAAGTCTGATGCTTAAAACTTTCTGTGAACTAACAGAGAATAGTCAGTCTGGTTTTTGGTATTCTCTGGAGCTATTTAAGAAGGACTTTTTTGTTGCCTAAGAAATCAGAGAAGAAACAAAAATAAAAGAAGTTTATATCTAGACAAATTCTCCATCTAGCCCATAATAAGAAAGCTGTTGCCAGAATCGAATGTAAAGATACGTATTTAGTGTTCTTCTTCTTTTTAATTAGAGATGCGAGGGATTGGACGTGAGACTTTCTGCATGCAAAGTATATCCTTGGCCGCTGAGCTACAATCGCTCCAGAGTTTGAAGCTGATCAGAAGTTCAGAATACTGGACTTGCAGGCTAATCTTTCCTAGGCTTGCCATACATCTGGAAAATTCCAGACATGCTAGGAAATTGGACGCCTAAAATGGCATCTGGAGGGGAAATTTGAATATTAAAAGATGTCAGGGATTTCCAGGACGTATGGCAACCTGGGGTTTCTTCTAGTTTTCTGTTGTTTTTTCAATTTTTTTTTTAATTCCGGGGGAGGCTGCGCCCCGATGCCAGTGGAAGTGACAAGAGGTCACGTCCCTTGGCTGGAGAGTGGGGGGGGGGGGAGGGAAGCAACGCAGCGGTAAAAAACCTCAACAAGGAGTTTTGTGGATGGGTAAAGAGGGTCACTGATCCTGACTGTGTGACTGTGAGAGGAGAGGTGAGGTGCAGGGAGAGGGGAGCGGAAACAGCTGAGAGGATGTAAACACTGGCATCACATGATCGCATTATAGTCACGTTTCCTTCTCTTTTGGACACTGTGTTGCGTTAGCTGGGTCTCCAAGAGGCAGAACAAGCGGAGGCAATTCAGTAGCCAATAGTTTCATTGCTGCGGCTCCGGTGCAGGTATCCCCTTGTCCTGCTACCTCTCTTTTGTTCCATCCCTAATATCCCTCTCTTTTGCACACACGCACACACACACACACACACACACACACGCGCACACACACACACACACTCACCCCTATGGCTACATAGCAGCTAACCAGATTTCCAGGGGTGAGGAGTGTAAATGGTTGTGGTGCAGGAAATCATGGGCTTGCTGCTGTAAAAGCAAGGAGCATAAAGGAGCATTAAGTTTAAAAAAAAAATTAAAAATACAAGGCAGGTAAAAGCAACATCTCTTCCCATCTGTGTGAAGGAAATGTGAACTTGCCATTCCTATTGTGATATTCCTATTCCATGGTGAGGTGGGGCTTACG